GGCGGCCAGCGAGCTGCCCGTAGGAAGCGAGAGGGGTGTTTCTCGCTGGTCTGAGGGCTGTGGCCCCTTGCCTCACGGGGGCCGCTGTGCGGGCCCGGCCCCGGGCCCGGGGCAGGAGCAAGCAGCAGGCGGCGGTTCTGCTTTGCCAGACTTACGCCGGACACGGAATTGGTGCTGGGGAGGTGATGCTGTGAAGCCCAGTCCCCGGTGACTTACTGGCTTTGTCAGCTGGTCACGAAAAGGGTAGCTTTTTCGTGAGGGCTTAGAAGTAAAGCTGGGGAGAAGGCCGCCGATTTTATAGGCCGTGAAATAGTTGCTGTGGGGTGAATATCGTGCAATTCTAAAAGCAGGTGTTGTCAGGAGCACGGAAGAAGATGCAAAGACTGCATTGTAACACTACTAACTTTTTTTACGGAGTGGTGTCTCTGTCAAAAATACTTGTAGATGCTTCTTCCCTATTGGGGAGGCATTGTGTTATCTACTGCTTGTGTGGTGATTTTGACAGCTGCTGTTGTTGAACGGTAATTCACTACTGTAATTCTTATTTCTTTCTCCAGTTGTATGAAATTCCCAACCCAATTCCAAACACTGGTGATGTGTTCACTTAATACCTGGAGCTTGCAGGAGCTCACTAAGCTAGAGCAAAAAAACTTTGTGTAGGTGTTATTGAGTTGGGAGGTGACACCCATTGCAGAATGTGTCAGTGAGTAGACAGCTTCCAGGGCAAGAAAACAGAACCTGCAAAGAGCTTAACAGGGAAAGCATCTGTGTAATGAATCTTGGAGACTGGGCAGCTAAGTGATATCCAGTGCCAAAAGTTATTAATGTAGCTTCCAGTTTGTTGTCACTGTATGACGTACAGAACTAATACAGGCATACAGAGAGTTCGGTTTTGTACCTAAGCAAGCAGGCTGAGATTTCTAATGACCTTTTTTGGCCATTGAGAGGCAAATATTAATAAAAAAATGAACTGTGCTGTTGATAAGCAAATACTCCATTTGAATTAGTAGCTTTTAAATGCTGCTTGTTAGTTCCTGAATAAGATTTTAAGTATGTTTTCATTTTAGTAACAAAAATTATAAAAGGAAAACAACTTTGGTCAGGTTTGATCCCAAGTTTTTTCTCAGCAAACTGTGCTGTGCTTACATAGAGTGATGCTGTGCACAGAAACTGATGATTGCTCTCTTTTTATGGTGATAGTGAAATAGAATTTACGGGAATGTTGTCAGAATTGGTTACTTTATTGCCTACCTATGAAAACAGAACTGGAAAGCATTGAGGGAAAAAGCTTGCACGCTCATGGATTTGTCATGTAGATGCCAGAGCAGAAAGTCTGATCAAAGTTTTTGGCTTGCCTTTCAAAGTCTTGGCAGTTTCCAAAAAAGGAAGTGTTATTTTGAGTAAACACCCAATTAAAACAATTAACAGAGAAACTTAATTCTTTAGTTTCCAAGAAGAGTGGTGTTTTCTGTGAACTAAGTAATGCTGTATCATCTAACAATACTGAAGTCTGAAATTGCTATTCAGTTCAATTTATGTTTCCATTTTCAATTTTTCATTTAGTTATGTCCAAAGGTATTAAAATATTCTTTTTTTTTTTAATTTTAGGAAGTCCAAAAGCATTCTGTGCACACACTTGTGTTCAGATCTTTGAAAAGAACCCATGATATGTTTGTAGCTGATAATGCCAAGCCCATCCCATTAGATGAAGACAGGTAAGTATTGCAATCAGTGAATTACTGGTATGCCTCAAAGTTTTAAATTATGTTATGATATCTCCATCCAAGTCAGAAGTTTCTGTGGAGTTAACAGCATAGTCTTGAGGGAAGAAAAAATACTAGAATTGTGAAGTAAGTTGTATAAAACCTTCTCTGAAGTATTTCAAAACTTAATAACAATTCAGAAATTGGAGTTTAATCAGTATTATGCTTTACTCTTCCAACAGTCACAAAGTAAAGATGGCAGTCAAGCTGCGTACAGAGTACGGCTCAGTGTTACACATGCCTACTCTTAAAGAAAACTTGAGAGAGAAAGGAGGCCCAAACACTGGGGATCCTTATGGACACAAACAGTATTCTGGAAATCAAGGTTAGTTTGCTTTTATTTGTCCTTTCTTCTGTGACAGTGTCACCGATGTAAAATCTGAAGAATGCAGTCCAGTATTAATCCATTGGAGATAAAGATGGAAATCAAAATAGCATTTTTTCATTGTTTGGTATTTTTCTTGCTAGGATTCACAGGAGGTAAGTGATTCAGAATGAGGAAGAAGTTTGTTTTAACAAAGGAATAGAAGGATGCTGTGTATTTTTTTATAGTAACCCATTAGTAAACGAGTAATTTTTATAGTCACAGTAGTTTGTGCTGTACTTAGGTGTTAGAAAGAGAAAGATCAGTAAAGTATTTCTTTTTACAAGTTCATGATGCTCAAGGACATGCTCTTTTGTTGTTCTGTATTTTTTTATGGTTCATAGAATTTTTTCAGACTTACTTTAGCTGTGCAACTATTAAACCAGAAAACTCTTTATTTTAAGTCAGGATTTTTTCAATGTATATTTGGTTATGTATGAAGCATGTATGTATTAGGTAGATCCCATACAGAAACTTCTAAAGAATGTCAAATACCATCTTATTTTAGTTAAGGGTTTTTTTTCCAAGGTACTTTATTTCGAAGTATTCTGAGAGTAAAAGACGTTGAGAGATAATTAAATTTTTTTTCAGAAAAGAACCTTTTTCTTTTCTGATACCCCAAACAATCTAGTCTTTCCCCATACAAGCTAATCTTGACTAGCTTAGGTTTCAGACACCCATGCTATTTGTGTAGTTGAATCCTTTTCCATGATATCTACCTCAGAAGGCATCTTTGGCAGTATGAAGGGTTCTCTCTTGAGAGAGAGTGGCAAGTGGCATCACCATTTAAAAAAAAGTTATTTTACTCTTGAGTTTTAGAAAACTGAGGTAACCAGAACAAATGAAATTAATGAAAATGAGAAATGCCTGGGTGTTATGGATTAGCAGGAGAAACCAGCAATCACTTCTATGTATGACCCGCTCTGTTTTCCTGTATTTCCTGTTTGAGTGCATCATTTGCAGTGCAGTATAAAATGTAATCATTAACTCACGTTTTGTTGCTCTTTAGGACAAGAACTTGAGTATTTGATCACTGGTACGCATCCATACCCACCTGGTCCTGGTAAGTAAAATTCTGTGAGTGTTTGCCTGGGATTTTTGCCTTCCTGTAAGAACTAAGCATCCTCCATCCTAGCAGAAGCAGGCTTCCTGTTGCCGTAGAACCGTAGTTGATAGGAGTGGGAAATGCCATTGAAGTCTTTCACAGTACTGATGCAGAGAGTTTTGTGGCTCATAAATGTTCTGGGATAGGAGGTAGGAGAAAGATTTAGGTACAGATGCAAGTGTCTTCTCGTAAGCCTCAGTGGATGTGAGCTTGCTGTGAAGTGGTCATTCATTTCTATGACATTTCACCTCCCATGGTAAAATCATCACAAAAATGTTTTAGGAATCCCCTCTCTGATATTGTTGTCCCCTTTCTCTTGGAGAGCTTGCTGAGACCCACAGATCCCTGGTGCCTTCACTGTTGTGGCAGAGCTGCTCTTAGAATTTTGTTGTGAACAAGGAGGGGGAGGTTCCAGCTAGAAGGAAGTTGAAAGAAAAGAGGGAATGTATCCTGCTTTTCATCACCAGACCAGAAAGGTGCAGGTATCACCACCTTGCTCTGAGAAAGAGACATTAGGGTCTAATAATTTTAGTGTCATTTGGTTTTGTCTGTGCTTGGAAGGGTTATGTTTCTGTGTTGTTACATTGGCCATTCCTAATTGTCACTGTTACTGATCAGATGCTCTCTTCTTGTAGCAGTTTAGTTTTAGCTGTTGATATTGTACTGTTAGTGCTTAAGTTTATTGCAAGTATGGTGGGAAATGTGTTGTGGCTTGATTTGTAAACTAACAAATGTAAGTGTTCAGTGGACCCTCAGCCATTAAAAAACCATGCATAGTTGACTGACTGTGTGGACAAGACTTGCTTACAGAGGTTTCCTCAAGTTCAGTGTTCTTTAATAGTATCACATATGTCATGGTTAAAAATTAGATTTTTCATTGATGTTTCTTGTTTTAACCTGGGCGTCTCACCCAATTATTGTCTCTGTTGTCAGCTGCCAGAACTTTGGTTAGGAAAAGAAATAGTGAAATGGGAGTGGAATAAATTCACCAGTCTGCACCAAAACTACACTTTGCAAAGAGGTTTTAAATCTTTTAAAAAAAGTTATCTGCTGTTCTTAGGATGAGGTTATAAATTATAAGTTGTAGTTCTGGCATCAATGCATGATGTCAACCCCCATATAGGTTGGCATAATAAACTGCACTAAAGGACCGAAGCTTGCAAATGCTTCTTGAGATCATGTTTATTTTTGTGGTGATTGGATTCCCATAGTAGTTGGAGCTAGATAAAAAGATGGATGCTGCTCCTAGCTAGGCTTTTTTGTTTCTAATGACAGAATCGTACCGTTTTCTGCTCTTGAAATTGTGTACCTACGTATGTAGTAGAAGCAAGATGGAAAGTATTTGGGCCAAAATAAAAATTGTAGTAGGCTTGACACACTGAAAAATAATGTCCTTGAATGATGGGATTTAATATTACAGGGGTATGACAAGCCCTTGTTTGCAGGTGTATGTGTGTACATGTGTTTGTATAATATACTTTTCTGTATTTTCATTTTAATAGAGTTGTCTTTGCTTTTGCTGTGTTACATTTTTCAAGGTGTGGCTCTGACAGCAGATACTAAGGTCCAGAGGATGCCTAGTGAATCTGCAGCACAGTCCTTAGCTGTAGCACTTCCTGCTTCTCAGTCCAGGTACTGCTGTGTTAACTTCATTAACAGTTTTGTAATCTATGGGAGCTTCAAGGCAAAAGACAGAAGTCAGGATAAGAGCTACTTTGAGTATTCTAATTTATAAGATATTTAAAGAAACTACTTTTAGTGTGACCAGGCCTCATTTTTCTGTACACTTTTTTTTTTTCCTTGGATGTCATGAGAGGCAATGGGCAGAAGTTAGAACAAGGGAAGTTCCATTTTGATACAAGAGGAAAAAGTGGGGCTTTCTTTGTGGGTGTCTTTGTCAGGCAATGGAACAGGTTGCCCAGAGAGGTTGTGGAGTCTCTATCCTTGGAGGTGTGCAGCACTCGACTGGTTGCAGCCCTGTGATACCTTTTATCTTACTTAGCAAAAGACAAAGTTGATTTCAATCCATCAACTGTTTTCATTCAACCTAGGCTGGATTCAAATCGGACAGCTGCTGGAGTGGGTGATATTTACAGGCATGCTGGAATATCTGAGCGTTCGCAGCCTCCTGGGATGTCTGTGGTGAGTTTGTTGCTCATCTGATGTGAAAAGTGCGTAGTGATCACCAGATTGGCGAACTTCTGGGTTCATTTGTGTGTTGTATGGAGATCTCCTGACTACCTAAGTTTAATCAGTGTTGAGATGTTGGAGTGAGAAGGCTTTAGGTTTTAGGCAAAGAGGTAAGTTGTAAAGCATAAGAGTAACCTTCCTTTTAACTTACAGGCCATGGTGGAAGCTGGTGGAAACAAAAATTCAGCACTAATGCCAAAGAAGGCTCCAACCATGCCCAAACCTCAGTGGCATCCACCTTGGAAACTGTACAGAGTAAGTTACAAATGTACGACATAAACAGGCATATGAAAGTAAATTAATATTTTATTTTCTATATAGACCTCAAAGCATAATTTTTGCTTCTCATTCACAAAAATGAAATCAAATGAGAAGCGATCACAACTAAGTTGTATACGTACACTCCTTAAATAACTAGGAGATTGGATTACAAATGTTTTTCATTCTATTTAGCAACTTATTTTGTGAATGTTATTAACTTTACCCTTTAGTTTATGTAGATTTAGCTGTAGCATGATAAATTCATTAAAGAGTTTGTTTTTTCGTTACTAGTCAGATTCTTTGGCAAAGAAAAGGTGCAAAATTTGAAAATAGTAACATGTTAAAGAAATACTCTAGCAATGTTAATGTAATGAAATTACGTAATGAAATTGTCTCCAAAAACACTTAAAGGCAGTCACTGTTTGAATCAGACAGAATTCTTTTACTTGCTATGAAAATGGGGGAAAAAACCCTCAATATTTTAATTACAAATGATCTCTGCACTTTAGATTGCTTGACTTGTAATCTTGACTTGTAATCTCATATAATCTTTAAACATTTTGGTGATGAGCATGGCAGGGTAGCTGAGTTGAGGGGAAAATCTCTAAGCAGATGTATTGGTTCAGATCTCTGACTTTTCAGGTGCATCTGTCTGAATGTGTACTTTTTTTTGTCCTAAGGAGCTGATCCTTACTATGAAACTTAAACAATTTCGTATTTTGTCTGAGAAAGGGTGAATATTACTTTAGGAGTGTCAGGCTTTCCTGGTATTTAAAGATCTCATGCTCTAGTATCAGAATTATATTATTTTAGCACTATTCATCTAAATACAGCACCTTATGTAGGCATTTAGGTCTTCTGAAGAGTCCTGAATGCTGTATTAGTCATACATCTTAAGTCTAATCTTAAAAAAGTAGTTTTCTGAAAAACACTTGAGCTTAAAGGAATATGTATGCTTTCTAAATACAGCAGTATTAGGTATGTGCCCTATATAAAAATGAAGGGAAATGTAATTTGAGAAAAATGGCACTAAAATAAACCCATGAGAGATTTAAAGTAAACAAATGAAAAATTACTACTTGTTAGGAGCACTTTCTTTTCAGAGAGAGAGAGAATGTAAATAAAATTCAAGTCACTGTACTAATTCTACATTTTAGTGGAGGCTTGCTATCAAATTCCTTGCTCAACAGGATGAAAGCTTGTTTAAGCAACCCAGAAGTAGAAGCATAGCTGGAACACCAAATGTGGGTTTCATCCTATCTGTTGTTTAAGATCTACATTTTAACTGGTCTTCCTTGTTTTGAAGTAATTTGTGGAAGATGGGGAGTTAAAATAGGTCAGATAATTTATTTCTTAGATTTCTGCCCTGGAAGTGCCTGTTTCTATTCCTAGACTATGAAGAAATGTAGACAGCTATCTCAAATGTATGTGGCTGTGGTCTCATCTAGTCAGAAGAATTCACTCTAGCTTTCCAAAGTATTTCTGCCTTATTTCTGCCTAAGAATTTTTGGCATGTTCTGGGTTTTTTGAAATGAGCTGTATGACAGTACAGGAAGGATGACATCCAGTGAAAACAGCTATGGGTTTTGATTTTAGCTGTCTGACTTCAGAGAAACAGAAAGGCTGCTGTAAGCAAGCCACGTATTGGTAGAGCTTTTCTTGTGAGATCCATCTCCAGTATTTTGTTACCAGAAAGTTTCCAACAGCAGCAAAAGGAACTTGTGCTTAAACACAGTCTTGGCAAAGCCTCGAGTGTTGGGCTACAGTGTTATGGACCCTCAAAGGATTTGAAAAAGTTGCTTGTAGGAGCAGGGTCTTTCTGTACTGCAAGTTCCCCCAGTCTGGTGTATGACATGAATTTCTAGTAGTCTTTTATTTAACTAAAGTAGAAATCAAGCTCTCTTCAGATCTAATTTCACATTTGACCTCTTTGGGGCGTATGCATTTCTTGGTGAATACTAATAAATTCCTATGTTGGAGAATGAAAATTATAATGACAGGTATATGTGTGTTATTTCTGACTTAGAAAAATTTTTGTTTTTTCTAAAGGTTATCAGTGGTCACCTGGGGTGGGTGAGATGTATTGCAGTGGAACCAGGAAATCAGTGGTTTGTTACTGGCTCTGCTGACAGAACTATAAAGGTAAGAGGTTGGAAGAAATCACTGACAAAGTTTGGGGGTGGTTTTTTTCCTCCTTATTTAAAAAAAGTCTTCAGTCCTTGGAAACAATTTCTTGGTTACTACTTGCAGAATAATGATCTGCAGAACACTTTTTTCTTTTATTACTTAGTCATAAAGGATTTGTGGAGTATTACTTCTTGAGATTTCATTTATTACATGGTAGTAGCTGAACAGCGAATGTTTGTTATTGTAATTTTTAACTTAAAATGCAGCAGGATCAATTACATCTGGGCTGTTAACCCAGCCTGTCACCATGTAGCTCTTACCTGTTTACTTCAAAATACCTATTTTGATGCAGATTTGGGACCTTGCTAGTGGCAAATTGAAATTGTCTTTGACGGGACACATCAGTACTGTACGAGGCGTGATAGTAAGTGCAAGAAGTCCATACCTTTTTTCTTGTGGAGAAGACAAACAAGTGAAATGCTGGGATCTTGAATACAATAAGGTAAGTGGTAGCTTCTTTAGTTGGAAATAATTGGTGGTGGTGAAAATAAAAATCAAAGCATTTAGAATGTTCTTTCAAATGTCCAGTTAAAGCGTGTGTACATTTTTCATTCATCTAGGTTATCAGACATTACCATGGTCATCTAAGTGCTGTCTATGGTTTAGACTTGCATCCAACAATAGATGTACTTGTAACATGTAGCAGAGATTCAACAGCACGAGTAAGTATAGCAATGTTACATTTTAACATTTTGATATATCAGTGTGTTTCAACATCTTCTATTTGTAAAAGTGAATACTTAACAAAGGATAACACGAATCAAGATGAAAATACTAACATGATTTATGTTAGCTTTGTCTTCCATTATGGATAAAACTGAAGCCTGAATACACAAAAACGCATTGTCACTTCAGGAGAATGTTTTATTTCTTAATTAGTAGGTAGACTACATAAATGTATATATAGGATCGCTTAGTATTTAGAAGATGGTACGGTTTTATGGTGACTTTGTTATCTGTATGTCTAGCAATTCAGTGGCAGGCTCCCTGCTCCCCTTGAAATTTGCCAGCTGAGGCAGTTGTGTGATGAATTGTTGGATGAAAAGTACAACCTCGATACCATTGTTTAATCTGTAGAACTATGGCAAGGAATTCATGTAGTCAATGGCAGTGCCTAAATACATTGAATATGCACCTGTTGATTGACCTCTGTGATTTATTTACTGTGAATTCATAGATTTGGGATGTGAGAACAAAAGCCAGTGTGCACACACTATCGGGACACACAAATGCAGTAGCAACAGTGAAGTGCCAAGCTGCAGAACCACAAATTATAACAGGTATAGTGGGCATGGTTTCACAAGTAACATGGCTGAAAAACATAATCATGAATGTATTTTTTCTGTAATTATGTGATGTTCATAATATATTTGTTAATTTACTCAATTTATTTTATTAATTTTCTGTTGAAAATGGACCATTCAATGGTTATTTCATACTATTAATGATACGTTTAAGTAAATATAGCTATGCATTTTTGAATGTTTTTCTTTGTTGTGATATGTATTGAGACTTGCGTTTTCTGTGATATTTCATAGTTCTCTCCAATTCAGCTAAGAAGTGTCCAGTACCATGGTTAAAGTTTATCATCTTTCCCATTATGTCAAAATCTAGCTTTGCTGTGTAACTAGTTAGTTCTTCTTGACTTTCAAACTGCATAAAAAGACTGTTACAACCTAGCATCTTTCTTGTCTGAGGTGACATTAGTACCATATTTTCGTAACAAGCATAACATTTTTGTCTTTCACATACAAAGTTTTGGCTGCCTTATCAAAATAATAATGATGATAGAATCAATATGATAGTTTCTACAGTTTTTTATTGTCTTTTCATTGTAGGCAGTCATGATACTACCATACGGCTCTGGGATTTAGTGGCAGGAAAAACTCGTGTTACCTTAACAAATCACAAGAAATCTGTAAGAGCAGTAGTGCTACATCCAAGACAGTAAGTTTTCCTCGTTCTTCTACACTTTCACAGTTCATAACATTGGGTGGTGACAGAAAGCCAATGTGAGTGATGATTTAGAATGGTAGGGCGTAATAATGTGAAAACTTAATGAGCTTAGAATGCTGTAAAAATGTACATGTCAGTTCGCAAATACCTTTACTACACTGATGGTGCTCTGCAAGTATTGGCACTGTTGTACATTAGCAATACTGAGAATGTCCTATATCCCACAGAATTTCTTATGTATGTGCCTTTGATGCAGTCCTTGAGAAACCAGTGACACTGGGCTTGTAAGGCTAATAATAAATATGTGACTGAATGTTTGATAGCATTATTTACACATATGCCATTTTACAAAACTACTTCGCTTTCTGCTAATGGAGACAGCAATTAATACAAAAGGATTTTTTTTTTAAATATGTGGTTCACTGCACAAGACATTTCAATATAACTGACCATAAAAAGAAACTTCTTGTGGGTATTTCATCTTTGAAGCAGGTGTACAGTACTCTGAATTTAGGTACTGTATTTTGGTGTATCAACAGTTGGCTGTTCAGATAAATTCCCATTAAAACAATGGAAAAAAAGAGTTCACATAACTGCAGTGCTTCTGCACCTTCAATATTTTAAAATGAAATTCTGTCATTGCAGACATTCAGAATCTTTGATCTGAATCAGATCCAATCCACGTGTCTGAAAAATTATAAAAATCTCATGCTGTGCCTGTTAGCTATAGCAGAAAAAAACCTTAGTTTTACTTATATTCTGCCAAAAAAGTGGTTTCAGATTAATCAATCATACCTCTGAAAAATATCTTGAACTGTTTTTTATCAAGCAGTAGCAACTATCAGCCTAGTATTTTTTATATTTCAGTACTTCTATATTTTTTTAATATTCCAGTATTTTTTCTAATAACTTATTTTGTTATTGAAGAAACTATTAAATAGACAGCAATTCATTTAGATGTTGTGGTAACTGAAAATATTCCTACAGGCCTTTGTATGCACTGCCCAAATAACCTTGTTAACTGCTTCCACATGTTAAAATGAGGGAATTGATTATTTTAGGGTAACTCAGTAAAACAAATTATCTATCTTAGTTCACTTTTTTGCCGTGCTTTATCCTTGGTTCTGTAGCTAGCCGATACTGGTGGTTTGTTTTGGTTTTGTTTTTTTTCCTGATGCCTTTGCTGATGATGCCCTTATACCTGAAAATTTGCCAGAATAACAGCTGACAATAACTTCAAGTGCATTTTTAATGTTTGTTTGTGTATTAACATCCTATATGGTGTAGGATTTATAAAGTTTAGGTAGTCTATGGAACAGAAAGGAAACAGATAGGTAATTCATGACTTCATTGCTTCGTTTTATGCAAAGTAAAAATGTCAGAAAAGCAGTTTTGGTGTTAAGTAACTTTGCAACTAGCATTTAACAGTAGTTTCAATGAAGAATGTTTGCTATCCCAACAGCTATTTTTAACTTCAATATACTGTGCTTATTTTCTTTCAGTTACACATTTGCATCTGGTTCTCCAGATAATATTAAACAGTGGAAATTCCCAGATGGAAATTTCATTCAGAACCTCTCTGGTCACAATGCTATTATCAACACACTGGCTGTAAATTCTGATGGTGTTCTGGTCTCAGGAGGTAAAATGAGAAATACATGTTCATATTTCCGTCTCTGCTCCCCCATGCGTACGTGGCTGGAGGTCCTTAGACAGAGATGAGCACTCCTTTATCTGAGCCTGTAAGCCTGCTACACCATACAACTTCATTTCATAATGAGTAGGGACACTTTTATTTTCTTGGATGTTACTGAGCAGCATGCACAAAAATGTGTTTGAAAGGACTTTTAATGTGCTGCAGGGAAGAGGCTTCGGGCTCTGGAGTCCATCTTCTATGTCAGAATCATTAGCGTCCCCTCGGGAGTGGTGTGGAATTTGGAAGCTGCCTGGGAGACTTCTGAATTAAAAGAGGTTGAGATTACCTTAGAGTATTTTAATGTAGAAGCACCCTTCTCAAAACATCTGGATTTCTTGTCTAGCTAGCAGCTGTGGAGAAATTTTTAGTAGATCTGTTCTGGCTAGATAATGCTTTGAGAGGGGCTTGTTTTTTGTAACTGAAAAATTGCTTTGAGAGCATCCTTCTGAATGCAGAGTTGCGATTGCTGTGAATACCCTGTAGCTGATGCCTCTAGCAGTAATACTGGCAGTGGTTTAAACTGTATTTGAAATAGAACTTCTGCAAACATTAAGCCTATGTCCCATTACAGATTCCTTAATCTGTCATCTGTTTGACAGGATGGTACCTCTTTGTTCAACTTTAGTGGAGGTACTGCACAGAGGAGCTTAATATTCAGATTGCCAGTACTTGCTTTCCTTCCAAAGCAACTTGCTGCAATTGCTTTGTGATGTAGTGTATCATCTCTCTGGGTTATCTGATGCAAAACTGGATGAAATTCTGAGGAAGCTTCCATCAGCCTTCTTTCAAGATCAGCCTTTCTTAACCAAGAAGGAAACCAGTAGAAAATAGGAAACCTTGTAGGGTGTACTGAGCTCTTCTACATGAATGTTATAGCTGGTGTATTCCTGATGTATTAAGTAGTTGTTCATGATACCGTTTTTAGAAAATAGATAGAAATTAATTGGTTAAAATACTAAATATGTTTGTCTGTTTTAGCTGATAATGGTACTATGCATCTTTGGGACTGGAGAACTGGATACAACTTCCAGAGAGTACATGCAGCTGTACAGCCAGGCTCTTTGGACAGTGAATCAGGAATATTTGCTTGTGTTTTTGATCAGTCAGAAAGCAGATTGCTAACTGCTGAAGCTGATAAAACCATAAAAGTATACAAAGAAGATGATACTGCGGTATGTCAAAGTGTCCTTTAAATGTATTTTCATGAAATCAACAGATTTCAAACAAATGTTATACATATCAGTAAGGGATATGCACAGGCTTGTGTAATCCATTTTATTAATGTTTGAAAGCAATTTGTATGTAGTGATGTTAAGACGACAGCATCTAGTTTCTGCACTCCTTATTTCTTACTACATGCTATAGCGCGATTAAGTCTTGTGTCTATTAACTCTTCTGCGAAAGTCCTTTGTGATACTGTTTGTAGAAATCTTAATACAATAGTAATGTACATTGTGTTTTGAAGCCAGTAGGGTACTAGGTGTGGTTGTATTCATTAAAACACGGGAATTAGCAAAAAGATTAAATTTTTAAGGTTTATTGTACTTCTCTATGTGATCTAGATTAGTCATTAATATTTTAAACTAAACCCTAATTACAGGTGAATTTCAAGTTAAAAATAATACTTACGATATTTTTGTTTTTTCCCTTTAGACTGAAGAAACTCATCCTGTCAGCTGGAAACCAGAAATTATCAAGAGAAAGCGATTTTAGTGTGGCAACATACTTATGCTGTAGTTTTGTTTTGGCTTTCCTGAAACCATTCAGTCACATTTTGTTCTGCCTAGAACAGCAGAGCAGGAAGTCAGCGAAGTCATTGCTATTTCAACATGTTTTATAATAAATTTTATTTCTCTTTCCTTTTGTCTTTTTTTGATGTGATCCCAGCAAACCAGTTGCAGCTGTTAACTTTCTCGGTGGAGCATGTATAGTTCATGAAAAGGATAGATGTGCAGGTGGTCACTTTTTTATATGAATCTGTTGAGTGTAAGTCTAAAAATATTCTGATGAGCCAGGTTTTCTGAAAGTCCCTTGCTTGACTCCAAAAGTTAATTGCCATTTTATGCCTAGAAGCCATCTACTCAAAATTTCTTGAGTGACACTTTTAGATTTTTAGACCAGTATTGTTTACTGTACATATGCTAGGCATATAAATGGAACAGCATGTATAATAAATTACAGAGTAATAGAGTAATCAAGAAAGAAGCAGGACAATATAACAACAACATAGTTTGCTTTATAAACACAGCCACTGAGCATTGACAGTGCTGTGTTATTGAATGAAATGGATCTTCAAAGTGTTCATTTCCATAGGAAAACTTTCATATGCAACTACTTATCTTCACTCATTTCATTTCAGAATGGAACTTCTATAGCAAGGACCACTGTCAAATCATATTGTTCACAGTCACTAATGGGTTAGGACCAGTTGACTTTCTTTGTGAATCACCTGTTTGTTTTTTTCCAGTTATCCAAAGCATATATGACATTAGAGTACAGCAAACTTTTAAAACTGAGCGGTAAGGGGAAAAGTTCTTAAGTCATTCTAGCCTTAATTTTACATGTTGCTGTCTGCCCTGTGTCTTATGAAGGAATTTAAAATAAATAAAAAAATACTACTGAAAGATAATTTGTACTTCTGAAGGGGCAAATCTTTCATTGTGTTTACAAACAGTCACATAACAAGCAGTAAACATGTAAGCCTCCTTGCTACAGCTTATCTGTGATGTCTGTGCTGCTGTTAAGCGCTTTCTTGTCATGGGAGGAGGAAAGTCTTATCAAGCCAATTCAGTTGTTGGCAACTTTGCTAGTAGTGTTAATAGCTGCAGTGGCCAGTTTCATGCTGGGTAGATGCTGAGAATTGTTCTGTGGCCACAGCATTGATAGTAAGCAGCAGTTCACAATAATTATTTCTTTTCTCTGCCAGTCTGACTTCTTTCAAATCTGGGATTTATGTTAGAGAAATGACAGTTACTTGCAATGTAACTTACAGAAAGCTTGTAAACAAAGTGTTATTTTTGTCTTGTCTTTTATAATGCACAGGAAGCCTTGTATTTATAATTTGAATGTTTGACAATGTCATTTTATGGGAGTCCATGCTGCATAAATAACTGAATTTCGGTTGACAGCTGTTGTCTGAAGCATCTTCACAAAGAAGGGAGGGGACTATTTGGTATTTACAAGTTGGATTAAACATCTTTTATTTGGATGATAATATGAATTTTTCTACATCTTTATTATGGCTGTCTTTTAATATATCGTGGAAAAATGCAGGTTGTGGCTTATGTATATTTTACACTGCTGCTGATGCTTCATTGCAGAAATTGATGAAGTACTGGTGTTAGCACAGAATTTTCTTGCTCACAGTGAAATCCTCTGTAGGAAACCAGAGTAGAGGGGAATAACTTACATGAAAAGGGGTGGGATTTCTGGGGGGGTGGGGGTTAGTGTTTGTTTTGGTTTGGTTTTATTTAGAAGTGTTTATTTCTTTTTATAATTTGGAATCATGAAAGGAAAATTAGATTTGGCTTACAGTTCTAGCACATCTTTGTACTGGCACTTTCCTTCAAAAACAGCATTTATTCCACTGTTTATTGCTGTGAAGAGAGATCAGAAAGTCTCCTGCAGAACCTGTATTTCTTCCCTGGACTTCTGCAGGAATCTACTAGCATGGGGCAAGTGGTTGCCAGGGTATTCTTTTTGTGCCCTGAGTAAAGACTTGGTTTGGAAATTAAAGGCTATGTGCTATTACTTGTAATAATACTTGTCCTTTTTGGCTCTATAATACGCTGTCCCAGTTCTAAGTGTTGTGTTTGGTTTTTTTTAATTGTATTCTTTAACATTTGATTTGCATGTTCATTTCCTTCCCAGCAGTTTTTTCTTCCAATTGACAGTGATGTGAATATCACATACATTTCTATAAGTATTATTTATTACACATCAAGATTATCAGATGTTTAAGTGCTTCTCTAGTGCAAAGTAAGCCTAGATAGTGAGTTGTGATACAATATATCTGGTCATTTAGGACACACAGTAACATTATATTTGTCCATGTAAGTCATAAGGTGAAGCAAAAGAGGAGGATCTGGCCCATTTCCATGCTTCCAGGAAGTGTCACACTGCAATGTCAGTTAAAGTAATCGTGAATGGGAGTCTAATCTCAAATAATTAGTCATTTATTTCATAAAATTTGATGTTGTCTTCTGTATATGATCAGATTATACAAATTTCTACTGCAAACCTTGGGTTTTGTTTTATACTGTACATAATTGCAGAGAAGAAAATGTTTTTTTCTTTGTAACATAATTCAGAAAAGTGTAACTGGTAACAGTGATAAATTTTAAGATCACTCTTTGCTGTATACTAAAGCATACAGTGTAAGCCATGCAGCTAGAATGCTGTCATTTGCTGGCAGCATGAAAGTTGCACAGAACAGTATGTCTTTGGCAACTTGAAGGCTTACAGAAGTAAATCTTTAAGAGCCAGTTTCTTTTTAGTCCTGTTAGGTAAGAATTAAAGTGCTATGCCTGCTTTAAGTGACAGCAATTTAGCCATCAATAAAACCTTCAATATGATCTGATTTAATGTCTTTTTTTTCCATTCTGGGTTTTGTAGTAAAAGAATAAAAAATAACTACATATGGTGCACCAGGGGAGGTTTAGATTGGATATTAGGAAAAATTTCTTCACTGAGAGAGTGGTCAAGCATTGGAACAGGTGGTGGAGTCACCATTGCTGGAAGTGTTCAGAAAACATGGATGTGGGGCTTCGGGACATGGTTTAAGGGGCATGGTGGCATTGGGTTAATGGTTGGACTTGATGATCTTGAAGGACCTTTCTGACCTTAATGATTTTGTGATTCTCTAAAAGTTAAAAGTCATTTAGGATTAAAATTGATGACTGTTTCCCATAGTACAGTAACAAATATTTTTGCAGGTCAGCAGTAATGGAGAAAATACTGATAGCTGTTTTATTAAGAGCTTCCTATCTGTGTGAAGGGATTAGCAAAACAAATGCAGAATTGTTCATGAATTTTCTCTAACGTGTTTGAAAAAAAAACCATTGAAGCCTCTCTGGAGTTAAGTATGTGGTCTAGGACAGGTTCTGGATGGGAGCTCTGTAGGTGGAAAAAAGCTTAAGAGTTAAACTAGTTTTGGTATGTCTTACTGGGAGCAAATTAAAGGGATATTTCTGTCCATGGCACAAAACTGACTATTTGGTCGCAATGAAATCAATGGGAGTTCTATAATTGATTTTTGAAGTCATGGTTTCGCTCAGTGCGGTGGTGTTTGGTTTTTTTCCTCAGTTGAGTTGGGAAAACTCAGTCTGGCACATCATGTATGTGAGTATCCACACAATTTTTTTTTTGTGGACAAGATGCATCATTCTTTTTTAGATGAGGCTTCTAGATTTTTATTAGTACATCTAAGAAAGTGGTGAGAATTTGGAAATTAATGAATGCCATTAAGCCTGATCAGCTGAAAAAAGTCAGCCTGCAATTTTGTTCTATAAAATGTAACACTAGGTTAGCACGACTTGAAACTAGCATAAATATGACTTTCAATGGAAGCTGTTCCATAAGCAGAATGTGCAGTTGGTGAATCACTTCATTCCTTTGAAAGCAAACAAGTCTTTGGCTGAAATGAGCTTGAAGGCTGCATGGAGAGGGAAGCTTTTTGACTTGGTTTTTGTAGTTTGAAAACTTGGCAGATGGGGAACTACAGATTTCACTGGTGGTCAATTAGGGAGAGCTTGTCATTTCGGGAGACTCCATCCGATGCTTCTTTAATGGCGTCAGTTTTCTGGCTTTTATGTCTTGAAGCTTTACAAGTTTAGTTCTGTGTTTAATAAGTCAGAAGTTGGCTGAAAACTGGAAAAAAATTGGGTGGAAAAGAAATGGCCATCCCTGTCTAAAGATGATCCTTCCAAGAATTTTGCTGCACAGAGGGGAATCTGTATTTGTTGCTTTGATTTTCAGTAAGCCGTAAGCAACCTGATTGCAGGGCTAGCAAAATGTAATTGTTTCTGTGAACACTTTTTGACCTGCATTTTTCCTATGCTTCCTTATCTTAAAAAGTTCATCAGGAGTCATGCAGTATTGTCATTTCATCTAGGATGTGTCAGTAACTTGAAAAATATCAGCATAAGCATTCACAAATATTGATGTTGGAAATGAGATGTTTTCCAGCAAAATGACTACATCTAACCATGAGAATTTTCTCTTTAAAAATATGACTGCTGCTTTACAGCAACTGGTAGAATACATACTAATTAAAGATAACCTTTATAGGGTTTGCTTTAGATGGGAAATGAGGAGCTTCTAGAAGTGGACTTGTTTTTCAAGAGACCATTTTTGAAAAAATGTTTTTAAAGATTTTGACTTGAGGGGTTTGCAGGATCAACCCATAGATGCTACTGTTTTCCCGTTGTTGCTTGATTGAAACTATGTAGTGTCAGGTTGTAATGTTTAGTTGTGAAACTTCTAAGTCAGTAACATGTTAACTTCCTTCAGGTGCATCTTATCACCAGGCTTTTGTTAACCTTTCTTTAGGGTTTTTTTTAATATAATGAGTACATAAGCCCCAAATGTGTATCTAATGCATGGATTAATTGGGGCACTTGCCTGCAAATCAGACCTCAACAGTACAAACAATAATTAAGCTAAGTGCTTGTCTCCGGGTAAGGAAGACTGAAATCATTGACAAGAAAACTACAGCTGAAAATTAAGAAATCTTCAGTTTGCACAGACTTGGGAAAACTACATTGTGATCGGGTTTTTTTTGTGTATTGTGATGTTTTCTTTTTCTATCCTCAAATGCCTACACCTTACACTTGTGTTTAAGAAGTGCAGATAATGTGTGTGAAACACTTGTTTCTGCCAACATTTTTTTTGCAACATTTCTGCTTTATTTTTAGGGAGAGCATGTGTCCCTGCAAGACACCTCACCATTACTCTCTGCTGCAGGTACAACTCTTGGGCTTTCAGATGCTGCAAATGTTTTGGTTTGTTGTTTTCACAGAATCACAGAATCACTAGGT